CTTTTATTAACACTATCCCAAAAGAACATGAACAACATTGAAGGGAAAACATTCAATTTTGTTAAAATGGAACCTTGTAACAATGAACTGAATTAATGCATTTTCTGTAATAATGAACTGATTTATTTGTCTTTTCTGGCTTAGCGAAGCAAAGCTTGCTTGAATCAATGCATTTTCTGTAATTTATTGGACCCAGACTTCCCTTGCAAAATGAAATGAAGATCTCTTTCTGAATGATCGTGTCAGGTCTTTGAGTAGTCAAAGTTGAACATGTGCCCCTCCCTTTTCAAGCGGCAGATCTTGATTAAGTTTATGAAATTATGAGTTTGGGTTTATCGCTTCATCAATTTCATTCATTGTTTACATATGGTTTCTAGTTGCAATAAATCAACTGTTATTTACCAAATAAAACCCCACAGTTTCTTGTTATTCAATCAAACCCAAATCAGAGAAAAGAAATGGAAGAAAAAGCAAAAGATTTCAAGTATCTACCTCCTAATGGATATAAACAAAGATGTCCTTTCTCTCATCCTACTAATCCTCACACTCTTTTCCCTCAAGCTAACCAAAACCCTAAATCCAAATTGCTTCATTTGCGGCAAACAAAATTACTACACTGATCCTGGTTTCCATTACCACTGCACCATTTGCGATATCGATTTCTGCAGTTCTTGTTTCGACTAGCCTAGAAAAATTACACATCCTTTTCGCTTTCAACATCCTCTCTTTTTTACCTTCGGAAAGCATGAACATATCATTGACGGTAGCAATAAAACGGATAATAAAGCTATCACTTTCAACACTTGGGTTCATCCTGGTAAGTCTAGCGTATACGATAACTGCACTTGGTGTGGGAATTATATACAATCATCGATATCGAATCCGAGAAGCACATCTTTCTATCGATGTTCTATTTATAGCTTTGTTTTGGATATTTCTTGCGCGCGAAGCAACCCACCTCTTATTATCGAAAACCCTAAAGATCATCATCATTCACTCGTCTTTTTTCCTCGGCCGCTTTTAGAGCATGATCAATGGGAAGGCTTAAGTAAGATTGTTTAGTAATTTTTTTATTATAAATTATTTTAAAGTTCTTAGCAACTCATATTTTGGGTTGCTAAAATCTCTTAAATTAGCAACTTTTATTGGAGTTGCTAAGTAACTTTTTTTTATTTAATTATTTTTAACTTTTTAGCAACTCACTAAAAACTATTTAACACCCATCATTGCACATGCTCTTAGTTCCTTGTGATGCGTCGGAACCAAAAATGGAACCCAAGAGCCCATACCAACGCCCGGCCCGCTTCGGCGGCGCATGTGGTCTCTTTATTTCTCCACTCATTCATGTACAAGGTTTGAACTTAATTAGACCCTCCTTCATATACCAATAGAAATTTTTTCAAACTTTGGACGTGGAACATTTTATATGTGCTTTCCTTTAACCAAGGTGTTAAAGCTCTCTCTTATAGCCCATTAACAGCCCATTAACGTCACATTTCTCATTCAAACTCAAACTATTTTTACATAAAACGGGAGGTTTACTAAAACAACTTTGAAAAATGGTTTTTTGACCAAAAGGATACTAATCTTTCATAATTACTCAAACAACCTTGAAAGATTTTTTATATCCGTTTTAGCCTTATTTCCTTTTAAGACAAAAAACGTATTTACGAAACTACCATTAATGAAGCAGCGAATAAGTCTACCGTTCATGTGATGGTAGATTTATTAAGTGGTTGGTAAACTTATTGATGGTTAGCAATCGTAGACTTATTTATAGTAGTGGTAGATTTATAATATGTGGTATACTTATTTAAAGTAGTGGTAGAGTTAGTTTTGTGATCGGTAGACTTATTGATGGTTCGCACAATCGTAGACTTATTTATAGTAGTGGTAGATTTATAATATGTGGTAGACTTATTTGTAGTAGTGGTAGAGTCAATTCTGTGATCGGTAGACTTATTTCTAGTAGTGGTAGAGTTAATATTGTGACCGGTAGATTAATTGATGGTTCATGCAATCGTAAACTTATTTATAGTAGTGATAGACTTATTAGCAGTAGTGGTAGAGCTAATTTTGTGATCGGTAGACTTATTGATGGTTCGCGCAYTCGTAMARMTATTTATASTAGTYYTAYATTTAMTTTMSASTGATAGACTTATWAGTAGTAGTGYTAGAGTTAATTTTGTGATCGGTAGACTTATTGATGGTTCGCGCAATGGTAMACTTATTTATAGTYGTYGTAGATTTYTAAAATYTGGTAGACTTATTTGTASTAGTGGTAGAGTTAATTTTGTGATCGGTAGACTTATCTCTAGTGGTGGTAGAGTTAATTTTGTGATCAGTAGACTTATTGATGGTTCGCGCAATCTTAGACTTATCTCTAGTGGTGGTAGATTTATTTTTCAGTGATAGACTTATTAGTAGTTGTGGTAGAGTTATTTTGTGATCGGTAGACTTATTGATGGTTCGCGCAATCGTAGACTTATTTACAGTAGTGTTAGATTTATTTTTGAGTGATAGACTTATTAGTTGTTGTGGTAGAGTTATTTTGTGATCGGTAGACTTATTGATGGTTCGCGCAATCGTAGACTTATTTATACTAGTGGTAGAGTTCTAATATGTGGTAGATTTATTTATTGTAGTGGTAGATTTATTCAATTTTTTCACGTCTTTACTAAACAACCTTTAGTTGGTAGACTTATTTATAGTAGTGGTAGATATATTTATACTCGTGGTAATGGTAGATTTATAATATGTACACTTATTTGTAGTAGTGGTAGATTTATAAATATGTAGTAAACTTATTTATAGTAGTGGTAGAGTTATTCAATAAAGGGTAAAATCGTAATTTACCGGTCGTCTTCTCCACACAACAAGTTTCTGTCAAACCCTAACAATGGTGGCCAACTACCTTTTAGCTCGTTTTTACTGTATTTTAACTTGTTTTCAACTGGATTTAGCGTAAAACTAGTAGATCTAACATCATATATCTATTTTCTAACCAAAAATCAAAAGATTTCAAGTTTTTATTTTTTTTTTGTGATTTTCAATCCGACTTTATCTAAATCCGGCGGTACATCTCCGCCAAGCGCGTCTCCGGTGCTTCCACAGCCTCCGCGGCCGCGGCTTCAAACAAATTTCTGAATTTAAAAAAAAAAATAATAGTTAGATTGGCATTTTCGTAATAAAAACTTTTTGCTAATGTTTATATGTCTTTTATGATATTTGTTAAATTTTAACCTTGTGTAAGAGTTGTTTTAGTAATTATGCCATTTTTCAAAATTGTTCTAGTAATTTTCCCTAAAACAAATGCCCACTAGAAGGCTCATTTGTTTATTCACAAAAATGTTCCGACAAT